AGTAAGTAAGTAAGTAAGTAAGTAAGTAAGTAATAGAAGCATTAGTGAAAGGTTTGGCTCCTGGAAGTGCTCCACCCGATTGGGCAGACTGTCAGCTGGCTGCTAACCAGAGGTGGAGATTCTGACCTTCAAAAAGAAAAAGAAAAAAGAAAATAAAAAACCTCCAGGAAACTACAGCAGCATCTGATAAACCAACCTGAAAAATGTTCACAGACATGTACTGTAAATGGTTCTGAAAGAAGTGAGAAAGCAAAACTCTTTTGAAACTTTTGAAGTGGTGCTCTGTTTGAAGATTCTAAACCGTCAACATCTTACCTGTTGTAGATGGCTCATTAAACAACCTTGATTTGGAGAAAATGAGTTTTGTTGTGAGCAGACTGATGAGCCGAAGGTTAGTTTGAGAGGGGCCAAAACAAAGTGGATTACTAACTAATAGCTGAAAGTTTGTAGTGATATTTGTAAATGCTGCGGTGGCTCAGTGGTCAGTGTTGCAGTCATGTCATACTGAGGCTGCAGGTTTGAGCCCAAGTAGCATCAAAAGGGGCATGATCCCAGCATTGAACTTTTTTCAGTTTGCTGTTGTGACCTTATATTTAGAAGTAGCTGAAGAAAAACAATAACAAATTGAAAACTTTTGCACAGCAATCAGTGTTACATTATGCAACTATTTTTACAAATATACTTTAAGGCAGAGGTTCTCAAACTGGGGTCCCTGGACCCCTAGGTGTCCGCAAGAGGTATCTTGGGGGTCCTCAAAATCTTTTACTAAAATGTTAATTTGGTTTTTATTTTTAAAAATGCATAGAGAACAATAAACTAATAAAACAAGCATAATAAACTTAATAAAAATATATTTTCATGGCATTTAGGGGTTGAAATTACAGTAAATTGTTTTTTAAAACAGCAGGGGGTTTATGAGGGGGTTCGACCTTGTAAGTGGTCCCCAGACCCAAAAGACTCGAGAACCCCTCCTTTAGGCCCTGTCTGTGGCTCAGAGCAGACGGTTTGGCGCCCCCTGTCGGTCAGCCGCGGAACAGCAAGAACAGAATGTACAGAGTGGATGTATGGATCAGAACCGGGACCTGTGACTGACGTACGGCCGTCCTCCCGCTGTGACACCGCTCACTAACGGGCCGCACTGGGACTGCTGCCTCTGCGGGTTCAAACCCAGCCTGTTAATTTACTTTAACCTGTTATTTTTGCCTGAAAACGGCCGGATGCTACTCAGCTAGCTGAGCGTTAGCATCTTGAGCAGCCTCTGCGGAGGTCACGCAGGCTCGGGAGGACCGGGAGGACCCGGAAGATGGACCCCTAGTTTATCTGTGGCTTTCATCCCGGAGGGGTCTGAGACAGGACCCGGGTCGGGGGGCAGGTCTGCAGCTGGTGCCCGCAGGACGAGTCGTCCTCCCGGTGACAGGTGGGGATGAGGAGCCGCAGTAACTCCGGGGTGAGGCTGGACGGGTATGCCAGACTGGTCCAGGAGACCATCTTGTGTCATCAGGTGGGTCCAGACCCAGAACAGGGTCCAGAACCGGAAATATATCCAGTAAAGTCTTTAAACATCATGATGTTTAATCATTTTATATCAGTCATTAAATCCATCAGAACCTTATTAACATGTTATAAATATCATATTACACATAAATTCACATTAATGAYATTTTTTATTTTCCAGTAATAAGTTCATTATAACAAATAAAATCTATATTTTTATGTGAAATGAGTTAAACTAGGCAGGTGTGTCAGTGATCAGAGTGTTGCGGGTTCAAATCCCGGTTGTTTGGGTGGTAAAGGTGAAGCCCACCTGCCTCAGCTCTGGCCCTCCTGCTCCCTCCAGACTGAACCCTGCTGATAAAAAAAACAATAAATCCTGTTTTAAACTTCAACATTAAATGATTTCTGCACCGATTAGTTATAATTTATTAAAATCAGCTGAAATAATGATAAAAGGTGTTTTTGTTTCTAACTGCTCCGGTGTTTKCTGTAATGTTATCAGCTGTGGGCCCTCAGGGTCCGGACCGGACCCAGACGGTTCTGAACGTGAGCCCAAGAGCGGACCGATAAGAGACCCCGAGCTTCTCGGGCTTCAGCTGATCTCAGCGGCTGACCTTTGGTCCCACTTTGTTTATTCCTCTGCAGCTGCTGCTCAGGATGAACTTTAGCCTTTTACAGAAACAGCCGAACCTCTACAACATCTGGACAAAAACAGCAGCTGTTTGTTTAACCCTGAAGAAACTTAATGTGAGTTAGATTTAATGTCCTTCAGCTCCTGGATTCACTGCAGGAAGAGCCGAAGCTGTTAGCCTGACCCACTGCAACATTTTAAACATGTCTTAAAGAAAAAATCCAGATCTTAGATTATTTTAACTCTGCTTTAAACATTAATGTGACAATACACCTGTGACTCACCTGGGACTCACCTGGGACTCACCTGGGACTCACAGGTGACTCACCTGTGACTCACCTGGGACTCACAGGTGACTCACCTGTGACTCACCTGGGACTCACAGGTGACTCACCTGTGACTCACCTGAGACTCACCTGTGACTCACCTGGGACTCACCTGAGACTCACCTGTGACTCACCTGGGACTCACCTGTGTCTTATARACAAGACCACGTGTCCCAGTGGGATTACCTGCATAAATAAAAGCTGAAAGACACTAGCTGATAGTAGCAAAGAGCTAGTTAAAAGGTAAAAGTGTCWGAGCAGTAGCTAAAGGTAGCAAAGAGCTAGTTAAAAAGTAAAAGTGTCTGAACAGCAGCTAAAGGTAGCAAAGAGCTAGTTAAAAATTAAAAGTGTTAGAACAGTAGCTAAAGGTAGCAAAGAGCTAGTTAAAAGGTAAGTGTCAGATCAGTAGCTAAAGGCTAAAAGTAGCATAAGAAGACTAAAACAGAGCCAGCAGCTGAAGCAGGTTTTAAAGAAAGTATTTAAAAGTGGAGAAGTTCTGTAAATGTAATAAAATATTAAGACATCTCCTCCTGAACAAGCCGAACGTTTTGATTYATGAACAGCTAAAATCAACCAAAGTCTGCAGGAAGSTTTGTTGAAAGAATCAAGTTCATCCTAAAATCTATGTTTTGTTTCTAAACGTGGAGTTATTTTACGTCTCTTCAGACAGACCTGACGTGTTGTCTTCATCAGAGATGTTCCAGCTGATGTT